ATAAAAGATCAGATAAACATAAACACAGTTATAGTGTGGTGCCTCAGTACCCCACTAGCACAAATAGACAGATCAGCTAGACAAAACAATTAACAAAGAAATGTCAGAGTTGAGCAAAACCTTTGAACAAATGGGCTTAATAGATCTATGTACAGTGTTCCATCCAACAACAGAATACACATTTTCAGCTGCATATGGAATTTTCTCCAAAATAAACCACAAACTAGCCAATTAATCAACCGTAAGTAAATATAAAAGAATTGAAAATTTACCATGCATATTATTAGAACATAGAAAACTCAAGTTAGAATTCAATGACAAAAAACCCACAGAGATTATGCAAATGCATGCAAACTAAACAATACACACTTAACTAGAAAATGGCTTATAGAAGAAATCAAGGAAAAAAATAAGACAGTTTCTAGAACTAAATGCTGAAGCTAGTACAACATGCCTGAACTTATGGGACATGATGAAAACAGTCCTAAGAGGACGCTTATAGCTGTGAATGCCCACATCACAAAATAGAGAAAGCCCAAATAAGCAACTTAATGATGCACCTCAAGGTCTTAGAAACACAAGAATAACTCAAACCCAAAGCTAGTACATGGAAAGAAATTATAAAGATCAGAGCAGAAATCGAAGAAAGAGACTAAAAAAATACAAAGAATGACTCTGAAGAGTTGGTTCTGCAAAATAAATAAATAAATAAATAAATAATAGACAAACCCTGAGATAATCTAACAAAACAGACAACCCACAGAAGGTAGAGGGAGGGAGGGAAGGAGAGAGAATCCCAAATCAATGCACTTAGAAATGAAAAAGGTAAAATTACAATGGATACTGCCAAAATAAAAAATAATTATTTCTCAAACCCGTATGACAATAAATTGGAGACTTCAGAAGAAATCCATAGATCCCTAGATACATATGAATTACCAAAATTGAACCAAGAAGATTTAAAAACCGTGAATAATCCAATAACAGGCAGTGAAATTGAAGCAGTAATAAATCTACCAAGAAAAGTTTAGGTCTGCACAGTATCACAGCTTAATTCTACAAAATGTTCAGGAAGTTCTACCTCCTGAACTTCTAACTCTTCAAGCTTTTTTAAGGAAATTGAAAGGGAAGGTATACTCCTAAAGTCATGCCTGCAACATATCTTTAACCTTATTCCAAAACCAGGCAGAGATCCAATCAAACAAGAGAACAATGGACCAATCACTTTAGTGAATATAGACACAAAATTCCTGAACAAGATACTGGCAAATGGAACACAATGAATCATCAATGAACCATGCCACTATACATCATAACCAAGTAGGTTTCATCCCAGGGATGCAAGGATGGTTGAACATACACATATCAATAAATACATCACATAAACAGAAGGACAAAAATCACATGATCATCTCAATAAATGCAGAAAAGGTCTTTGTCAAAATCCACATCCTTTCATAAAAACACTGAAGAAAACAGGTACTAAAACTTTATCTCAATGTGGTAAAAAGCCATTTATGACAAACCCAATGCCAACATCATATTACTATAATCAGTTGCAAGAAAAGATGTCCATTATTGCTAGTTATGTTCAAAATAGTATGTGAAACATTAGCAAGAGCAATTAGGCAAGAAAAGGAAATAAAAAGGAAATGTATAAGGAGATGTCAAATTGTTATTATTTGCAAAAGACATACTCTTCTATATAGGAGATCCCAAAAATTCCTCCAAAGGACTCCTAGAATTAATAACCAAATTCAGTAATGTAGCAGAAAACAAAATCAACACAAAAAACCCAACAGCATTCCCATATACTAATAATGAATCCACTGAGAAAGAACTTACAAAAAATACCATTCACAATAGTGCCACAGTAATTCCCTACCACTTTGTAACTCTGTATTGTCTGTACTGTGCTTGTGATATGTTGTAAAATGTTGTATGTCTGTTAATGTTTCCCTCCTTTTATCTTTAAAATTAAAAAAAAACAAACAAAAAAACAATAGCGCCACAGAAAATTAAGTATGTAAGAATTAACCTAAGGAAGTGAAAGACCTCTGCAATGAAAACTACAGTACGTCATAAAATGAAAGTGAAGAGGACATCAGAAAATATAAAGATAGCCCTCGTTCCTGAATAGGCAGACCCAATTTAGTCAAAATGGCCAAACTTCCAAAATTGATATACAGATTTAACAAAATCCTAATAAAAAATTCCAACAACATTCCTCACAGGACTGGAGAAAACAGTTCTAAAGTTCATATGGAGCCAGAAGAGACTCAGAATAGTAAAAGGAATCCTGAGTAAAACTAACAAAATGGGAGGCATCACTATCCTGGACTTGAAGTTATATTACCAAGCCACAGTGATAAAAACAGCATGCTACTGGCACAAAATAGACATGAGGATCAGTGGAACAGAACAGAGGATGTGGAAACAATCCCAAGTACATTCCGTGATTATCTTTGATAAAGGGGGAAAAACACACTTGAGGAAAGATTGCCTCTTTAAACAAATGGTGCTGGGAAAACTGGCTGTCCATATGCAGAAGGTTGAATCCAGGCCCATTATCTCTCAACAGGTACTAAGCTAAAATCAAAACGGATCAAATAACTAAACATTAAGCTAGAAACACTTAACCTGGTGGAAGACAAAATAGGAGAACTCTTGAAGACATAGATGTAGGCAAGGACTTTCTCAATAGAACACCATTTGCCCAGGAAATAGTTCTGAGACTCAGCAATTGAGGTCATATCAAATTAAAAAAACATCTAAACAGCAAAAGAAATAACCAACAGAATGGAAAAACAACCTATGGAATGTAGTCTCAGAGGACTCATCTAGAATGTATATAGAACTCCAAAAATTAGACCCTCCAAAATAAAAGACCCATTAAAAAATGGGCAAGTGAAATGAATAAACACTTCACAGAAGAACAAATGACCAATAAATACATGAAGAAGCGCTCAACATCACTGGCAATTAGAGAAGTGCAAATTAAAACAATACTGAGATTCATCTTATCCCAGAAAGAATGTCCATCATGAAGAAATTAAATAACAACAAATGCTGGAAAGGCTGTGTGTGTGTGGTGCAGGGGAGGAGGAAACACTTCTATACTGCTAGTAAACTAATGTAACCATGATGGAAATCAGTATGGAGATTCTTCAAAAAACTGAAACTAGAAATTCCATTTGAGCCAGCTATTCCCTTTCTAGGTGTCTTCCTGAAAAAGTTGAAGATGTCATGTTACATTGATACATGCATGACCATATTTATAGCAGCACAATTCATAACAGCTACATGTTGGTAGCACCCTACAGTCCATCAACAGAGGGATGGTTAAAGAAAATGTGGCACAGTGGGGGCTGGGGATTTAGCTCGGCAGCATAGCGTCTGCCTGGCAAGCCCAACGTCGTGAGTTCGATTCCCGGTACCGGAAAAAACAAAAAACAAAAAACCACCCAAACAAGAAAATGTGGCATTTATACACAGTGGAGTACCACTCTGCCATAAGGAAGGATAGACTTTTTTTTTTTGTACCAGGAATCAAACTCAGGACCTTGCACTTGCCAGGCAGGCACTTGTGCCACTGAGCTATATCGCCAGCCCCATAAGGATAAACTTGAGCTATCTGTAGGAAAATGGATGTACCTTGAGACCATAATGTGAAGTGAAATAAATCAGACACACTAGCTTAAATATCACATGGATTCTGTGATTTTGGGCAAGATGTAGGCAAGAATAGCTGCTTTTTGAGAAACTCAAAATGTAAATAGTAAAATAAAAGATAATAGGACACAGGGAGGTAGATCTTTTTGCAAAAGGGAAGGGGATCAAGAGATGGAGGGGGAGAGAGGGAGGGAAGGGGGATGGTAACAGAACTGAGAGCTGTTTTGTACGTGTACCAGCTCCCTATGAGGAATGAAATCATTATGGAATGCAAAAATGTACTAATGAAAAGAAGCACTGCAAAAATTAGATGGTGAAAAACTTATTGCCTCAAAAAGGACCTGTTGATAACAACAAAGCCATTGAGGTTATACATGGGTGAGAAGAATTTGAAGAAGACTGGTCAAATAATATAAAAATGAAAAAAGTGAGCAGAATAGTTTTCAGAAACAGATAACTTTAGTTAACTGATTTGAGTATGTATGATTAAATAGATTGAATATAAGTCGATATTTACATATTTCATGTATATTCCAAAATGTCTGTGTATCCAGGGTAGCCAGGAAACTCCTGGGATCTTTTCTCAGGAAACAGTATATTTAAGTTGCCTAACATGTTGAACACTGGCTGGGGCCTGCGTGGCCATTCTTTCAGCCAGCCTGGGTTCAAGCTTCGCCCCAGATTTAGAGTCACAGGCAGGGAAGACACGGAAGGGGAAAGGAGTCAGGCACACTGAGAGCCCCTGTGTACCCGGAACTCTGCCTCAGTTTCTCTGCACTTGAGTGACTGTGTAAGTCAGATTTCTGTCACTTTAACAAAATTCCTAAGAAAGTCAGTTGAAAGGAGGACAGATTTATTTTGACACACAGTTTCAGAGGTTACAGTTCCTGGTCCCTTGGAACGATTACTATTGCCCTGTAGGCAGAGCATCGTGGTGAGGAGTACACAGGGAAGCAGATCTGCTCAGGTACAGACCCGAGAAGAAGGGGCCAGAAAGAGACAGATGCTTCAAATACATCCTCTGGTGACCTGACTCCTCCAGCTAGGCCCCGCCTTCTCACAGCCTGTTCAGCAAATGAACTCACCAGTGGATTAGTCTATTTAATTAAGTTAGGGCCCTAGTGAGTCAGTCGCTTCCTCAGAGCCCATCAGCTGGCAACCAAGCTTTCAACACAACAAGCCTTTTGGGGGACATTTTGGGTTCCAACCATAACAGTAGCTTAGAAGCCACTCTGGCCCACATCTGATTGGGGATCGGGGTGGGGGGCGGCAGGATTACAAGGCTCTGCATTTTGGTTTGACCTCTCCAAACCTTGCCACTCCTGCAGATCTCAGAGGTGGTCTTTGTGGCCATCTACACCTGTGAATTCTTCATGAAGATCTATGTGGATCCTATCAACCACTGGAAAGATGGCTATAACCTGCTGGATATGGTCATCCTCATCATTATCTTCATCCCCTATGTGCTCCGTGAGGTCAAGGGTAAAAACTTCCGCTACCTCAACATTGCTGATGGCCTACAGTCCCTACGTATCCTCAAGCTTATCCCCTATAGCAAAGCCATCAGAGTGAGTGGCCTGGGAGTGCCATGGTACTGGGAGGGAGGGCCATGAACCACACCTGCCCAGGAAATAGTATTTGACGCTATCTTAATAGCAATGAATCCTACTGTGTGACAGGTTGATCTATATTGGTATTATCTCAACCGATCTTAAAACAATGGTAAGAAAAACGTTAGCTCCATTTTACAGATGAATACATTGAGGCCCAAGGTAACTCAGCAGTTAAGTGTCAAGGTTGAAATTTGAAAGGTGTGTCTGATGGCAGAGGCTATCTGGACTTTTCTTCTCTCCCTACTGCAGAATAATTGATGTCTCATGATGCAGGTTGCTTATACTACATGCCCAGAAGTCTCCAGCTTTTAGACACCCTTGGCCACTCACTGCTTGTCGGAGTGGCTAATGGCCTGCTGTTCCTTTCTGTGGGAACAAAGTGAGTTTCCTCATTTTAAGGTGGCTCTGAAACACTGCCCCCACCAAGAAATCTTTCTGGATTCCTGAGGTTACAGAATGACCAGCCTTGCCTTGGCTCAGAATGCTCCAGGACAAGCCTCAGATCTGACCCCTCACTCTCAGCCACGCCCGTAGGCATGTGTCCTGAACAGAGTGTGTTTCCCCTGACCACTGCTCTCCAGGAAGGGCCTTGGCCTGTTTGTCCAGTCAGGGTGTGTTACAAATTCTGTTGCTCTTGCCCCTAGCTCCAGTCCTGGGAATGTGCGAGAACCCCTAACTCCTGCTGCAGCATACCCCAGCCACTCCTTTCCTGCTCTCATGCACTTCCTTCCACATTCTGTCTCTCACGGTGTCCTGCTTCTCACCCTCCTCCAGAGCACCTACTCTCCCTGAGGTTGCCAACAGTCTCCCTCTCACCAAACCCAGTGACTATTTCTAGTACTCACATCACTGGTCTCTCTTTTTCTGTATTCTCTGAGTGGTGTGTGTGTGTGTGTGTGTGTGTGTGTGTGTGTGTGTGTGTGTGTGTGTGCTGGGGATTAAATCCAGGGCCTAATGCATGTAGACCAGCACTCTGCCTTTAGACTATGCTCCTAGTCCTTCTAAGAAAAAAAGTTTTCTTTAAAAATTTTGAGGCAAGTTGTCACAAAGCTTCCCAGGCTGGCTTTGAACTCATGGTTCTTGTCTCAACCTCCCAAGCAGCTGGGATAACAGGTGTGTACCACGAGGTCTGGACCTGGGCAGTGTTTTCCACCTTCCATGACTCTCCACCTACTCACATATGACTCTGTGACTTTCAGACTCGGCTGCCTGCTGGACATCTCATGTACCTCAAACATATGTGTCTAAAACAACACACTTCCCAGGCTCCCCACTCCCACCTGCAAATCCCCAACCCCAGCTCCTCCTTCACTCTTTGGCTAAGAGTGCCTCACTCACATTCAGTCATCAAGCTGTAAGTCTGGGGGTCTTCTTTGATTCTTTTTGTCCAAGTCTTGTTGCATAGCCTCCTAAATACTTACTTACTTGTCCGTGTCTTTCTGTCCCTGCTGCTTCCAGGCTTTGCCTGGGTTTCTGCAGTGGTACCCTGTGCTACTGAGAGTCCTGGAACAGAAATGCACTAGAAGCTGGGAGGCATCTTCCAGAGGCACATCGAGTCACAGCACCTCTTGTTAGTAGGTGAGGGATGGACCCTGTAGTGTGTCCTGGAAGGAGCAGAGGGGAGTGTGAGGTGCTGGGGATCAGAGTTGGTGTCCGGTAGGGACAAAAGCAAGGCAGATGGACAGAACAGAAGACTAGATGTCCCTGGGGGTTAGCAGCAGGCAGTGGGCACCTCAGAATGAGGCAGGAGGGAGCTGGGCCCTGGAGCGCTCAGGGGTCACTAGGATGAGGAAGCGTAGGGATGAAGCGGCCTGATAGAGGGGGTGTCATCCTCAGAGATGCTGAAGCACCAGAGTGACAGCGTGATAGGGTGGGGAAGGAAGCGGCAAACCTGGAGATGGAGATTTCAAGGCAGGAGAGGGAGTGGAAAGCTGGAAGTTTGTCCCTGCTCAGAAGCAGGGACTTTGCCCACGAAGGTGGGGCTCCAAGGCCAAGACAGAGGCCCCCCATCTGAGGTGAATGAAAGATTGGCAGCCTCTCTGGAGAAGGCTGCTGGGGCATGATTCCTCGGGTAAGAAAATACCCTCAGGTGAGGTCAGGAGAGAGGACACCATGGAATGAAGGTGCCAGACACCTGTGGGAGTCATGTGAGGAGAGGGGCAGTGGCCTCTGGCCTAGGGGAGAGGGAGCCCAGAGCTGCTCAGAAGGAGAAAATCAGGAAGGATTGGTGGCAGGAAGGATCTTGGCATCTTGGAAGGAAGGTGTAGTGACCCTGCTTGGTACCTCGTGAGGCTGGGGACGCTAACTGCCTGCCGAGGGTACCAATCTTGGCTATATTGTGGTCGCCTGGTCAGAATTCAAAAGCCAGAAGGTGCCTGGAGCTGAAGGCCTGGCGGAGAGAGACCATCCCGCCAGCCCTGGGTATCTCAGAGCTGTATCCCAGAGCAAGCCAGGCCTTCTTGGTGACTTCAAGCTTCTGCTTAGCCTTTGGTCCTTGTAGACACAGAGCTGTGAGCAAGCAGATACAATATGTACATAAACTTGTGTCCCAGGTTTGGTCTCAGAGTTTTCTTGTCACTAAGGAGAACCTTGTATCCCAAAGTGGTCCCCTGGGGATCACCAGCTGCTCTGGCTGTGCCTGTCCTATAGCCTTTGGGGTGTCATGACTCCTGGATCCCCAGCGGATTGTATGCCCTCTGTGCATTGGCCCTGCTTGCTGGACAAGGGGGACTAGAGCTGCCAAAGATGGAGCCTGACACCTCTGTGCTGATTTGTGTTCACTGAAGTGGAAAGGAGCCCTAACAGAGCTCCAATCACATTGCCCAGAGCTGGCATTCTGGTACCTTCTTGGTTCTTAACCCCTGATTCACGACAATGACACCCTGCCTTCCACTAATAGCAATAAACCTGCTCTTTCAAAGGAAACCTACTATTTCAAAGGAAATAGTACTTTGTTTTGCACATAGAGAAGTTCTGTTCGCTGGGCGTTCTGGGACCACACTGCTCCTGTTCACCTGTGTGCAGCCTGGCCACAGCCTTCAATGCTGGGCTGTGAACACCAGCCTCCTCTACCTCCCTGCCCCCTCCCTCTGGGGCTCCATCATTTTCCATAGGAGGTGCTCAGGAGGGCTTCCTCAGAGACCTGACCCTGGCCCCTTGGCATGTTTAGAAGTCCTTTTCCATTCCCAGAATGTCCCAGGGTAAAGGAGAGACCAAGAGAGCTGAACTAGGTGCTGGGAATTGCTTCTTCAAAGCATTTGGGAATTCAAAACTAGGCATCTACTTGGGGCCAGGCTGTAGATCTTGGGGCCAGGATTTCCCTAGAGAAGGAACACCTAGCATCTGGAGTTCTGGACAGTCATTCCTGGAACCGGATTTCTGCACCTTTCCGAACTGTGCACTAACAGAACCTGGCTTGATGTGCTTGGAGAACCATAAACATCTGTTGGGGTCCTGCAGGACAGTGTGACCTCTCTCCCACTGCCACTCTGAAGGCTGCTCAGCTCTTACCTCAGGCAGCACTTGCCACGAGCTGGCCTTGGGGAGACCTAGCAAAACCTCCCCTAATCCTTTCTGTATGTGCTTCAGGCTCTAACCTTGGCCTATACTCTTCCTGTGCAGACCTGAAATGTGGACTGTATCCCAGTGCAGCTTTTCTCATGAGGGCTTACTGCCTCAGTTTGACTAGGCCCTTGGAGAGAATTTCCGTCCCTATCTAGCAGAGAGAAGGGCATGCTTTTTTACATCTCAGCTTCTGGAATTAATCTGAAAGCAGGTTGATTGATTTTCTTCCCCCAGAGTAGTGGAGGTGGCGTGAATATACACTCACCCCTGTTGGCAGCTGTCAAACCAGTCCACACAGAAGGCAGCCTGGTACTTTGGGGTTGTTCTGTCTCCCAGAGTACCCCAAACTGTCCAGATTTTACTGCTTCATGTACAGACCCAAGTACCTGCGTTCTTAGTGCTAAGCTAGGAAAGCTTTGTTGTACTCAGAGTCACAAGTGGTTGGAGAGGGTGACATGGGGCAAAGGGCTTGGGAATTAGTCCCAGCTCTGCCGTTGTTCCGAAGTATAACCCTGACTAGGACAGTTTACCCCTCTGAGCCTCTGACCCCTCATCCTACAAAACTGATAATGCCTACCTACCCTACAGGTATGCCTGTGAAAGCATTCTAGGTAGGAGGACATATTTGGAGCCTCTACTGCATGTTAGACTCCAGGGCACAGAGAATGAGTGAGGAGCTGCGCACTGCGCTCCCTCGGACTGGGTAACATGGAGGGAGACAGAACAGTTGTCCGCGTCATGGGGAAGACTGAGATCACAAGACCTGCCTGTGAAGGTTGGGCCCAGGGGAAATGGGGAGCCATCGTTCTCTTGCCCGCTCCATTCTCTCTCAGGGTAGCTCCCGTGCTCCTGCACTGGGGCAAGGAGCATTCAGGGCTGGACCTCCTCTGAGAAGCAGGGACAGAACATCCTGGGTGACCCACAGAGCCAGAGCGCTTACTGATGATGATAGGGATGCCACCCAGACTTGAGGTGGTGTGGTCCAGCTGCCTACATGGAGCTGAGGATGGGTGCTAAGCAGTGGTAAACCACTGTTAGATTGATGTAACCCTCCATCTGGGCATAGTTCTGATTTACTTTGTTGATTCAGTCAACTGACTTTTATGTACCACATGCCAGGCATGGCACCAGATGCTAAGGGCAGCTGTCCTCTGAGCCTACCCAGCAGGGTGCCCTGACCCAGCTGCATCTTCCTGCCTTGCAGACGCTCCTTGCCGCTGAGGCGCAGATCATGTACACCGTCGCCTCTGTGCTCATCCTCTTCTTCATCCTGTTGTACATCTTTGCCATCTTGGGCTTCTACCTGTTCGGAGTTCTAGACAGGGTCGACATGAGCTGGGGGAGCCTGGATACGATTTTCTTCACCCTCTTCAGCTTGGCCACGGTACTGTGTTTGGGAAGAGCAGTGAAGGCAGGGATATTCAGAAGGGACTTCCAGGGTGGTATGAACGTGTGGGCACGCCTGGCCTCATGGGGGGCCTTACCCATGTTAATGTACTTAATTGGGCCCCAGGAAATTGGGTGTTGGTGGCCAGCACCAGTCAGAGGCCAGTGGCCTAGAGAGAGATTTATCTTTCTCTCTAATCTTTAGACCATTCTCATGTGTACCACACGGTCAAAAACTTGTGCATTTGGATTAAGTTAAAAGTGAAATCCACATCATATAGCCTTTTGAGAAACAAAGTGTCACAAATCACCCAGAATAAGCATGGTACTGACTCAAGTCTAGACTCTGTTGAACTCTAAAAGGGACTACATAGTGAGATGCTGTCTCAAAAAAAAAAAAAAAAAAGAGTGGGCTCTTTTCAAAGGTGGGCTTGGCAAGAGGCAGTGTCCTTTCAGAGGAAATGGGAGGCTTGAGAGAAGAGACCCCAGGGTATGTTGGCCCCCACCCAGTATGCTGTGCATTTGCAGGCCATCCAGAGTGGGGAGATATTGAAAAGCTGACACAGACGCAGAAATAGTCTGCTCCTCAGTGGGCTACGGCTCCCCTAGCACAGGTGAGATAGTTCTACTCCGCTAGGCCTTGGCACTCAGGATACCCCGCTCTGCTTGACCAGGTTGAGGGCTGGACAGATATACAGATGCAGTTGGAAAAGCACAATTTTATTGTGAGCCGGGCATTCACTATCATTTTCATCTTGATCGCCTCCTTCATCTTCCTCAGCGTGTTCGTGGGTGTGATAATCATGCCAACTGAGGTAAGCCTCTGCTTGCGACGGCGGGATCAGATCAGATATGGCAGGTGGTGGTGAGGACCAGGTATCGAAGAGAACCCAGAGAACTGTCTCCTTCCTGAAGTGGAGTAGAGGTGGTGAGATGGGCCACCTCCCAACTCTTCTCCCTGGGTGCATGCGTTTGTCTTGCCTTATGAGAGTGGCTGATGAGAACCCATCATGGAGCTTGCTAAGATACTGCAGCAGCTTGAGTTGGGGGCTGGCCCTGTATGGGGTGTACCCTCCGGCTGAAGGCCTAAGCAGCAGGGCAAGGTGAGACAGGGTGAAAGACTGGAGAAGGGAGAGTATGTGTCGAGAGCCTGCCCCTGACCTCCGCTTTCGACTAGGTCTCCATCAAGAAGTTTGAGCAAGACCAGATGCTGGAGATATGCATGGAGGAGAAGAAGCAGATGATCCTGAAACGACAACGGGAGGAGTTTAACAGGCGGATGCAGATACAGGTAGGAAGTCCCACAGGCAGGCAGTGGATAATAGAGTCAGAGCTAAAGGAATGGCCAGAGGAGGGGCCCTGAGGCCCATGCAGGGAGCAAGTAGCTTCAGGCATCTGTGGTCTTAGATACTTTTCTCCTTATATCTTCCAAAGCCAATCTTTTCTTTCTATAGTTTTGTGCTTCTCTGAACTGTTTGAAGTGGTGAGTGCTGTGATTATAACGTCTCCTCCTTTGTGGGCAGAGCTCTACTGCAGGGCCCCTTGGGCCAGCTTGTCTATGATAGAGCTTTTTACCGAGGGCTAACAGAGCCAGGCAGCACAGTCCCAGGCCACTGGGTAGATGCGGACAAAGTGACTCTTGCAGGTGTCCCTCAACCTCAATCTTCTCACACTTCTAAAACCAGAGCAAGAGCCAGGTGTGGTGGCACATATCTGTAATCCCAATACTCTGGAGGCTGAGGCAGGAGGATTGCCGAGAGTTCAAGGCCAGGCTGTAGTTCTCAGTACATAGTGAGAACTTGTCTCAAAAAAACACAAGACAAAACAAAATAAAGCAGAGTAAGAGTGAGCATAACAGGTGTTTTTCTTCTAAGCATGATACAACTGTGCAACCTGGGGTCCTGTTTTACTTTTCTGCCTAAGCAGTCTTGGCTCAGCTTTGGATGCATTTCGGGGCTCTTTATCTATTGTTATGTCCCTCTTCAGCCTCTTCTCTGAGGGGGAGACATCTGCGTATCTAGGTGGTGCCCAAAGGTTGTGCAGGGGTGGAGGAGGTTACACTGGGCCACGATGAAACTCTCACTGGTTCCTTTGTGTGCTCCTGACCTCCCTCAGATGGTGGCTTATGAGGCTACCTCATCCACAAGGGGCCAGGCTGAGAGGGGTCAGGATGACCTTGTGACTAGGCTTAAGACTCATCCTGGGGCCAGGAACAGGCCTCTGCCTGGGGTCCCTTGTAGAAGGTCCCCAGATCTCTTGCAGCTTGGTTGTCACCTTTCTGTCATTGTTCTCTTTTTTTGCTCCCCTCTCTAGAAAACTGAAACTGTTGACAAGGATCTCAGTGCTTTGGTAGAGAAGGTCAAGAAGACCCCGAAGGACACTCAGCCTGTGGTCTTGGGTGATTTTGGCACTAGCCTGCTCTTCACTGATATATACTTTTCCATTTTGGACAAACAGGATGCCACTGTCAAACAGTCAGTCCCTATCCCAACATTTCCTGGTCTCTGGGGCTGCCCTGAGGTTGGGCTGTATTGGGGATCTCAGCAGGGTGAGGGATTGCTGACTGATATGTGGAGTAGGTGGGTGGACCAAGGCCATTTGGGGGGTGGTGAAGGGTCCCCTGTATGCATACAGGCTGTGCTGCTGTATGGAAAGACCTGTGGTCTGGGGGAATCTGTACCCCTGTCGTTCCCTACTCCTGCTTGACTTCGTCACATGTTGGCTCATTCAGCCTTCCAGGTCCCTCCTCACTCTCCAGGGGGCAGAGAACCTGTATTGAGTTGAAGTAAGGAGCTGAGACTTCTGGCCTGATTCTGCCACTACCTTCCTGTGTGACCTTGTGCAAATCTCTGCCCCTTTCCCACCTGTCACACAGGCTGGTTAAATGACTGCTTAGTCTGTGTGATGCACTGAGCCTGGCCCGGCCCAGGGTTTGGGCTCAAAGTAAACTAGCTGGGTTTATAAATGGCTACTACTAAGCTGGAAGGATGTAAAAACCCAGCAGAGGGGTTCTGGGCACTAGGGAGCCAGTGGGCTCTTAAGCAAGGACAGATGTAGTTTACCTGGCTTCTCAATGAAAGACCCCAGAGGGCTTCAGAGACTGGTGATACTAAAAAGAAGGGGCCAGGGGAGGCCTACTTTTGGCCCAAGAGTGGGCAAGGCACTGTCTGGGGACAATCCCCCCGGCCCGCACAGTTCCTGCTCTTACAGCCCAGTGGTTCCTCTCCAACCTGTTGAGTGAAGTGAAATAACTTACTCTAGGAGGCCCCCTGCAGAATGGAAGACTGGGATTCCAATCCACCTGGCCTGGTTCTGAATTCCTTGTTCGTCCCTGACTCCACACCTGCCGGGTGTGGTGAATGTGGAGGTGCAAGTGTGTGATGGGTTCCAGCTAGGGTGCCATGAAGCCCACCCCATTCTCAGATCCCCTTCCTTCCTTCTCTGCTTTCCAGGCTTCAAGAGCTGTACCACAAGACTGTGCATGTGTTGGGCCTGATGCTCACAGATGTGGCCCAGGAGAAGATTTCTGAGCTCGAAGGAAAGATTGATGAGAAGTAAATGGAGAGTGTGGGAGCACCCAGGCACTGGGGTCCTTGCGGGCTGTAACAGTTCCTATTAAACTCAGGATTTTGGAGCTGGCTGTGAGAGTTGCTGTGACCTTGGTGCTTCCTCACCTTTGGGAGTTGGACTGGGTAGATACCCATGAAGTCTGATTCCCTGGAATCCCATGACACAGCAGACCTAGGGAGTGGGGGAAAGAGGATTAAGACTAGCCTTGGCCAGGTGCCACATCCAGCGACCACAGTGGCTCTAGCCTTCCTGGATCCAGCAGGAAGGGTCCAAGGGAGCTGCCTAAGGGCCACAGTCAGAGAAAGATCCCCGTCAAAGTGTGTGGCCTTGCCCATGTGGGAGCCCCTGCAGGCTGATCTGTGTGCAGGCCCCATCTCTAGCAGGGCTGCCGCTCTCGCAGTGCCCACTGCTGCAGAGACCCCTTTGCAAGCCTACTCAGTTTCCCCAGGCTTGCCCCTAGCTGTGACTGCCAGGAGTCTGTCATATGGGCCTAGAGCTCAGCCTGGGTCACTGACAATACCAGGACAATTTGTACCCTGGCCCAGAGGAGCAGCAGCAGTAGCAGCAGACACCTTAGACTGTTTCCCTCTTGTGGCTAGTTAGAAATCTTCACTTACAGTGCCATTTTCTTCATCATTCTGTTTGGGTTTTTTTGTTTTTTTTTTGAGACAGGGTCTTGCTATGCAGTTCAGACTGGCCTTGAGCTCACTTTGTAACCCAGCCTAGCCTTGAACTCGCAACGATCCTCCTGCCTCGGCCTCCTAAGTGGTGGGATTACAAGCATGTGCCACCACGCCCGGCTCTTCTTCATCATTTAACGGCCAAATGACCACCAGAGCTGCCAAGGCCCTGGCATCACTTTGGCCCAGCCATGATAGAACCAACTGAAGGACCCACTGTGGCAGAGATCTGGCACCCCTTACTCCAAATGGCTAGCTCAGACCCCAGGCAGTGCCTCCTCTGCTTCCACTGCTGGCCATGTGCCTGTCACCTTGGTCATGTCAGCTCAGACAGAGGATGAGATGGGTTCTGGGTAGAGCTTAGGAGGGGGACTGGAACCCACAGCTGGGTAAAGAAAGGCCTCACATATACAATGAAGAGTCAGATCAGCAAAAAATACCTGGGCTAGAGTGAGAGTGGCTGCAAGAAAGGGTTTTGTGGTCAGGCCCCCAGGCTCCCAGCCTGGGTGATGGTACACGGAGGCAGGTGACTGGGCAGGCAAGAGGACCTTCCTCATGGGTTTAGCCGTATATTCACCATGGTCTGCTGAGTTGTGCTGAGTGCGGATGGTTCGGTGGTAAGAAACCCGCAGTCCAGGCCTCCCCACTTGGTGCTTAAAATTGCATAGGAGAGTCAGTAATCCAGCCAGTTTCCCCAAGGAGGTGACAATGGTTTGAATGCAGAGAGCACCTTTTTAATAAGATATCCGAGTCTTTTCCATTTGCCACTGTTCACACTGTCTGGGCCGCAGTGAGAGTGGTGAAAACATCTCCACACAATTGCTCTTGAGTGTGAAATGCACTGCCATGTTGGAAGGGGCTCTCAGAAGGCACTTTGCCAGTGCCGGGGGGATATCAGTGCCCCCCATGGAAAGGCCTTCTGCCTGCCTAGTGACTCCAAACTAGAGCTTACAAGGTATTCTGATAAGAGCAGCCCAGGTAGCAGGGCAGGCAGGGTGCAGGCAATGTCACCAGCTCATTCACTGGTGCCCAGGGCTGGAGTAAAGCAGATATTGTCAACTGCCCACACTAGCGATGCCGTGGAGCTCAGAGAACATTAATCCACACCCACCTGCTCCCACAGCGTACCCTGGGAATTGCCTTATGCATCCAGAATAAAAGATTTTAAAATTTGCCTCTAGTGGGCAAGGGAGAAAGTACCATGGTTTTAATCAGGAGACCTGAATTACTTAAGATGACTGTGGGCAGGGTGTCTGGTCTTTTTTTTTTTTTTTAATTTTTTTAAAATTTTAGACAGGGCATGTCTATGTAGCCTGGGTTGGCCTTGAACTGGTGGCAACACTTCTGCCTCAGCCTCCCAAGTGCTAGGATTACAGGCATGCACCACTTCAGCCAGCTGTGTTTGGTCTTTTGAAGCCTCAGGTATTTCTTCTGAGGAATGGGACAATAAAACTGACCAGCTACAAGGAGCAAGAAGAATACATGTAGAAGTGTGAGAAAGATGTTGTCAAGTCATGATTGATGCTTCCTGGCCATTGGCCCTCTACCTCTGCAGGGGACAGCTTCTAAGGGGTGTGATGATCAGGAACTAAAAGGGCCAACAGCAAGGTGGCAGGGAAGAAAGGCTGGAGCTGAGAGCACAGCAGAGGTCATGGGCCTGCAGAGGGAGTGCAAGGGGTCTCCAGATGCAGTGGGTTGAGGATGAATAGACAGCATGTCAGACCTGAAGACCTTGGTCTCAGGCTCAGCAAAGTGGCCCTTAGCCACTGGGGTGGCGAGCGGGTGGGGAAGTGAACTCCAAGGGCATAAGAAGAAGGTTTGCAGAGAGCAGACACTGTGAGGGGTGACGTGCACAGGGCTGGCCCAGCACTGTCGGCAGAACCAATGCATATTTGGCATAAAGTCCCAAAGCAACATTCCTGTTTGGCTCTGTTGGCCTGCAGAACAAATGCTGGCGGATTGGAATTCCCACTTGGGCTGTCACCAACTCAAACAGGCTTGGCCAAGGCCTTCAACTGATTTGCTTGGGGTAGAAGTGACTCTGATTGTTCCAGCCTGGCTATTGAAAGCAGGCCCTCCTCCCCACCCTGCAGCCCTGGAGTCCAGCAAGGCTGTCCTCAGTGTAGAGCTCATCTCCAGCCTACTAGCTGAGTTTAGAACTGCATGGGGTGCAGGAAGCCTGAGTCTTCAGTTTTTGCTGAGGCTGTTGTTAGAGAGACCCAGAATCAAAGGCTGGAGGTCCTAGGAGAGGGGCTGTTTTTCTCTCCTCTCCTCTCCTCCCTTCTCCTCTCCTCTCCTCTCCTCTCCTCTCCTCTCTTCTCCTCTTCTCTCCTCTCCTCTCGTCTCCTCTCCTCTCTTCTCCTCTCCCCTCCCCTCTCTCTCCCCTCCCCTCCCCTCCCTTCCTCTCTTCTCCTCTCTCCTCCCTTCTCTCCTTTTTCCCCCCTTTTGCTTATTGTCCACCAGTGGGGAGCAGTCCCTATAGTGTGGAAGAGAAGATAGTGACTGAGAACACAAGTTCTTCTGTTTAGTCCAATAGCTCCTAGAAGCCTGATACTGAGATACTGGAAACCACACATCCTGGTGTCCTCAAATGCTGATGGGCTACGATGTTCCTACACCAAACTGGCCTTAAGCAGGTCAGGTTTTGCTCGCAGAGGTGTCCCTACCTATTTCAGGCTCTGCCCTGGGCCCCGGTGTCCTACTCCATCTCCAGCAAGCTCGTGAGAGAGAAGATGGTTGGAATTCCTAAGAAGCCTCCTCAGAAAGAAGAGGTGATTGTGGCTGATTGTAGTCACGAGGTGGGGGAAGGAGAGAAATATGATGAAGCAGGATTTATCAACACATGAGTATCCCCACTCTTCCTTCCCCAAAGATAATTTTCTCTGAGCTCCATCAGCCCCGTGCTGCCCCATCCCCGGGCCTGTGTTGACTTATTTGAGGCTTTGTGTAATGCCACTGGGGAAAGGGTGCAGCAAGAACTGGAGCTGGAGGGAGAGCCAGGTGTTCCTGTTTCCTGAGTTCCTGGGTTTTCCTCCATGTTGGGGAATCAGGGTAACAGGCAAGGCAGAGAGAAAACTGAGAGATCAGTAGCTTGATGAGTCTGCCCCACAAGGACCCGGGACAAGGGAGGGGAGGAGGAGGCAAAGCCTGGAAGTCTGGGACTTCTGGACAGCAGCTCTGCCACACCTGGCCTGAAAGACCTGGGATAGAAGGAAGGGGTGAATCTCACACTTCCTGTGGGCTAAGAATGGGATCTTAGTTGGTGTTTTCTGGGAAAGGTAGGTAATGGTTGAAATTATTTAAAAATTACTTTTAGTTGTTTTACTGTACCTTTCAAAAATGGATCATGAATAATAGAGTATACCATGTGGAGTCCAGGTATTAATCATAAAAGACCCTCCTTGGGAGCTGGGTATGGCTGAGTAGTAAAGCTTGTGCTTAGTATGCAGGGGGCCTGGGTTCCATCCTCAGCACCTCCTCTTAGATAACACAGACCTTTCAGGCTAAAACGTGGAAATGTTAAAAGAGCCTTACAAACCATGCGCTGAGCCCCTACCTGGACCAGAAACCTTTAGGTGATGTAACCCCGAAGAGTGGTGGCAGCAGATATGACTGACCTTTTGCAAAATGAAGTGAAAGGTGGTATAGAAGAGGCCAGCGGGAGAAGGTCCATTCTGACATGGGAAACTGCGGATTCGTTGTGGTTTCTGTAGGCTAACATTGGGACAGTGGGGTTCTCACAGCACAGGTACCCTGTGACCTGCAGTCCAGTATCCTGGGAATGCCATTGCCCCTGACTCCTTCCCTTCCTGGGGCAACTTTGATTCCTGGGCTCAGGGCCTGAGGCAGAAGACCTCCGCAGAGCTTGATGCTGGGCTAGAGGAGGAGGACCTCAAGCTGAGGTCAGGCCAGCACTCCAAAGGTATAGCCTGTTCTTTTTATTGACCATGGAAATCCCACCTTCTGTTTTGCCAGCATTTCCATTTACCAGATGCTTTTGTGTATATGACTTCAATTACATTAACCACACTTAAGCAGGTATTTTCATATTCCATTAAACAGGTGGCAAAACTGAGGTTAAAAGAGGTGATATAATAAACCTGAAGTTGATGAGTAAAAGAGGAAGAAGCAGAATTCCCAACCTAGTGCATCTAGCTCTTTAGCCACTCTGCTATATGCCAGGCAATGCTCTCCTGAGAAATTGTTACCCCCTTTTTATGGGTGGGGAAGCTGGCATTCAGAGAGGCAACACGGCCAAGATCAGCACTAAAGGGCAGAGTCAGTGTTTGAATGCAGGCCACACACATACCCCTCTGTTCTGTGGCTCAGAGCAAACTTGTTCTTTCTTGTTAAAATTATTTCTTGAAGTTTAAAAATCAAGTCACGATTC